GCCGGCTGAGCATAGAGCGGAATGAAGGTAGTAGTAGTAGGTGTAGAGAGGGGTGTCGAGAGAGAGAGAGCTCTCCAGCGCCGGGGCCGCTCGAGATCGGCTCGGTCGCCGGCGAGCGCCCCCTGGTGGCCGGCCGGCTGGCCCTGGCCGCAGCCGCCGCCAACGCTAGCGGCCAGCGCTAGCAGCCCGGCATACCTCCCCCCTTAAGTACCTGTCCCTTGTAGTTTTCCATTTTCCAAAATCGTTGTCCATTTTCCTCGCAGTCCTTCAAAATTCCATGCAGTCCATCCACTCTTCCTCCCCCTCTAGGAACTTCTCGCCGTCCGCATCGTACAGGTCGATAACGTCCTCTCCATCGTCGGACGTTAGCTTGTGGAGGTCGTACTCCTGGAGGTGGGCTGGCGCGCGCCGTACTCGTTTTGGTCGTTCTTTTGGTGAGTGGGACGGCGGAGTTCGCTTCTTCGCGGACGTGGCCGCCGGGGGTGAGTCGAGTCCGGCTTCGTTTGTTGGGGTTGGGGGTGTTACCCCGCCGTTCCTTGCCTCAGACTCGGGGGTGGAGGCAGTCTGTCGGCCCGATGCCGGGCTTTCTGTCCTGTTGCCGCGGGTGGGAGTGGCCAGCAGGTGCGCCTCCTCTTCACTACTAGTACTCCCCATGCGTCCCGAGTGCTGCTCTTCCCAAGGTGTGCGGGGGTCCTGCGCACCCTTTGAGCACCCGGACGTGGCTATCTGCTCGCCGGCCTGCTGGGCTGTGCTTGGGGCTTCCCCTGTTGCGGCCGCGATCCGCGGTGGGGAGCTGGTGCCTCGGCGTTTCTCCCACTCGCGCACCGTGTCGAGCCAGGGGTCGTGGCAGTCGTCCGGCAGTGTGGGTATCGGGCCTTTGTTGTACAGGTAGTCCCTCTTCTGCCTCCGGTAGTCCCTCTTTACCCACTGGGTGCCGGAGCTCCCCCATTGGATGCTTTCCTTGGGTAAATTGGCTGCCTTCGTTCGTGGGCTGAGGCGTCCTTTGAAGCTGTCGGTGCTTGGCCCGTGGCTCGTTGTCACGGCGAGTCGGCCGCGTGTTGGGCCTCGACCCCTCGCGCCCCGGCCTCGGAAGTGTCCGGTGCTTCGCCCTCCTGAGCGGCCTGGTATCCTCGCCGTGTACTTGGCTACCCGTGCGAGGGGCACTGCTCGCGGCAAGCGCGTAAAGAGTTCCGACAGCTTGTGTCTCCCGGTCTGCGGCTGGCTAAGTGCTCGCGCCGTAGCACCGGGTGAGGGAGCCGTCGGGGGTGGAGGCTGAGCTTGTCGAATGATGGATCGGACTGTGCGAGGCGTTTCTTCTTCTCCGTCGCTGTCAGAGGACATGCTGGCTGTCCTGCGGATCCGTATTTGGTCTTGATCCCGCTGGTGAAGTTTGTCCTGTAACAGTAAAGGTTGTACGATATAGTCCTTGTTGCCTTTTATTTCTACTATTGTCCCTTCACTCCAATTCTCGGGTTTTTGCCCGTACACCCTGAACCATACGGGCTGCCCCTCGCGGTAGCGTGGTTCCGCCGTCGTTGTCGCTTTTGGTGGCACTGAACATGGGTTTAGCCTGTCTAATTGGTTGCGTGGCCTACGCCCTAACAGCCGGGTGGCTGGTGTTTCACTGCATCCCCCTGGAGTGTTTCTGTGGTGGAGCAGAGCGTCCACCAACCTGTGTTGTATGGGTCCGTCTAGTTTGTCCATTATGTTTTTTAGTGTTTGCACTGCCTTTTCTGCAACCCCGTTCGATTGCGGAAATATGGTGGTGAGTGTAGCTTCTTAATCCCATTGTCCTCCAGGAAGTCCTCTAGCTCCTTCGACTTGAAACAGGGCGCGTTATCGGCCACTATCGTGTCGCACCTACCATGAGTGGCAAATGCTCGCCTCAGGCATTGGATCACTGCTGCACTAGACGGACTATTTACCCAGTACGCATCAATCCAATTTGTGGCCGCGTCCACTATTACTAGGAAAAAATTATTTTTTCCCGGGTACTCTCCAAAGTCTAGGTGGAGCCTGCCCCACGGACGGGCTGCCGGCCATGGCACTGGGGTTGATTTCGGTTGCTCAGGTCGCCGTGACTGGCATTTGGAGCACAGGTGGACCTTGTGCTCGATCTCGACTTCCATATTAGGCCACCAGCATACCATCCGTGCCATGCGGCGCGATCTTACCACCCCCGGGTGCCCCGCTTCATGTAACTTAGTCAGCACTCGTTCCCGCAGTTTTTCCGGGATGATCACCCTTGTTCCCCATAGTAAACATCCATGCAGTGTGCTGATTTCGTCTTTTCTCTTAAAATATTCTGTGAGTGAACTATCCTGGTTTTTCTGGGGCCACCCTGACACCGTGTACTCCCATACTTTTCGTAGCACGTCTTCTTGTTGTGTGGCCTCGGCGACTGCTTTCACCGAAAATGCTTCTGATTTGGTGCGTTCTACTTGTCGAATGTATGCTACTGTAATTCGCGGTCCCTCTGGTTCCCTGTATAGTTGCTGAGCGGGGAGACGCGATAATGCATCTGAATTTGCGTTCTCTTTACCGGGGCGAAATTTTAGTTCAAAATGGTACGCGCCTAACGTGAGTAGACCGCGCAGCATTCGCGGGCTCAGAATTGGCGATGCCTGTTTTGTTACCAAACCCACCAGGGGTTTGTGGTCTGTAAAAATCGTTATAAACCTGTTTGCCACGTACTGGTGGAATTTCCTGACCCCGAACAGAATGGCTTGGAATTCCTTATCTAGTTGGCTATAGTTTTGCTGTGCTGCTGTCAGTGTACATGATGCATATGCAATTGGTCGTTCATCTCCGTTCGGGAATTTGTGTGCCAGCACCGCACCTAAGCCCCAGGGTGAACTATCTACGCATAGGATTATGGGTAGATCTAGGGAATAATGACACAGCAAACTATTGCTGCACAGCAATTGTTTTGCTGTCTGGAAGGCGGCCTCGTGCTCGTCCTTCCAGTCCCACGGTGTATCCTTTGCTAATAATTTATATAGGGGTACCAATGTCGCCGCCCTTGCTGGTATAAATCGCTCATAAAAAGCAAGTTTCCCTAAAAATGATTGTAATTGTGGCACTGATTTTGGCGCTGATGCATTCACCAGATCCTGCACTCGCTCCGGCAGTGGGCTAAGCCCATCTGCTGACACCCTATGACCCAAGTATCTAACACTTTGCAGCCCAAACTCGCACTTCGCGAACTTGAGCCGTAGACCCACTGCACTGAGGCGGCTAAGCACGGCCTCTTCTCGTCGCGCCTGCTCCTCGGCCGTTGGCGCGGCGATCAGGATGTCGTCTAGTAACACTATCACGTTATCCAGGTCCTTTAGCAAGTTGTCTATAGCTCTCTGGAATACTGCCGGTGCTGTGGATACCCCAAAAGCTAGCCGATTCACCCGATATAGTCCCTTCTGTGTGGTAATCGTGAGGTACGCGGCTGTCTCCGCGGTCACTGGTAGTTGGGCGTATGCCATCTCTAAATCTAGTTTAGTGAAAAGCTTACCTCCTGCTAAGCTGGCAAACGCTTGTTCCAACGTTGTCATCGGGTACGGGTCTGGGCTTAATGCGGTGTTTATAGTCAGCCTATAATCGCCGCAAAGCCGTAGCGATCCGTCCGGTTTCTCCACGATTACTACTGGTGTTGCCCATTGACTAGTGTTTACGGGGGTGAGAATCCCCAGGCCCTCTAGACGGTCTAGTTCCTTGGCTACTTGGGCCCGCCTAGCAAACGGTACCGGGCGGCATTTAGCGTGCACCGGCCGTACCTCCGGGTTGACCTCGAGGTGTACGGGTTCTCCCGTATATGCGCCTAGGCCTGGTTTGAAACAGGAGTATTGTTGGGTATAGGTGCTACGGCACACTTTCCCGTCTGTCAATTTCCCCATGTGGTAGCACGGTATGTTCTCCGGCACCGTTCCCTGAACGACCTTGAATTGGAGAAGGTTAAACCAGTCTCTGCCTAACAGTGCCGGCCCCGGGCCGTCCGCGACACATAACCAAGCGTCTGCTGTGACGTTGTTATGCTTGATTGTCACTTTGGCCTGTCCCTTTATCGGTACACTTGAGCCGTTGTATGCACGTAGGCGTAGGGGGCTAGGTCCTATCTCTTTTTCCGGCCACAGTTTCTGGAAAAGGTCCTCTCCTACCAGTGACACCCCCGCTCCTGTATCAATTTCCAGGTCGATGTCCGCCCCGTCTGCGTTCACTATGGCTCTCATGGCCGGCGGCACGATACGTGCGGACAACCCGTGCGGGGGTGGGCTGGGTGTATACCTCGCGCCCTTGCTCAGGATGTTCCCCGGCGTGGCGCGCCCGGGGTGTGCCCTGCTCCGGAATGGTGCTCCCCCCGCGGTTCTCATTTGCCCAATCATGGTGTGCTTAGGCCCTTGCACTCCCGACGTGGCTTTCTGCTCGCCGTCGGGGCTGCTGTGCGTGGCTGTCTGCGCGCCGCACCTCCCGAACCTAGTAGCTATCGCTCGGCTGACCCGCGAGCGTACACTGCCGAGCCACGCTCGCGCCTTTGCCCCCACTCCTTTTGCCGTTGGTTTAGGCCCCGCCGCGACCGTGGCTCTCTGCTCGCCGGTCTCGTCAGGCGGTGCCGCCCCTCCGGCCGTGGTCTGCGGCTCGCTCGCCTCTGCTCTAACATGAAACAAAAAGTCAGGGAAGTCTTCCTCTTCGTCCGCATACTCATATTGTTGTTCCACCCCGATTGCTTGTACTTCTACTTCGTCTGCCTCTTCCTCCGGGTCTGGTTCCACGTAATTGTGGGACAGCCCCCTACTGCTCTGCTGGGCGCCCCACCCGCGCCCGTTCGGACGGCTTGACGGTGCGAAACCCCGGCCCCTACCTCGAGTGTTCGCCGCTGGTCGGCCTGTGCCGGCCTGGCCTTGGCCCGTGCTTTCGCAGACTCGAGAAATGTGTCCAGTGCGTTGACACGCATGGCACACAGTTCTCCAGTATGGGCACTCCGAGCGGTCATGTTGTGCTCCGCAACCTTTGCACGGGGCACCTGACTGGCTTTGCAGGGCGTACACCTGCTCCACCACGTGCGCATCGGGGTCGGGGAGGGGCTCCTCGTCGTCTGGCGCGACATTATGCACCTGTGCGGCGCCGGCTGAGTCAGCCGGCACCCACACCGTCATGGGCACCAGGCGCGTTGCCCTAGCCGGACCTGGCTGTGAGCGCGCGGTCGGCTGGCTTGTTGACGGCAGGGCTGTCGCCGCGTTCACCATCACCCATGGCTGTGGCTGGGCTGGCTGCCCTTGCCCCATACGGCCCATTTCCACCTTACTTCTCTCGTAACCTCGTAGGGTTCTGATGACTTTTTCTAGCGTCACGTTTTCTTTCCTCATGAGCTTGGCTCGCGCCTCCGCGTCTACTGTCCCTTTGATCAATTGCGTTTGCAATCGCCCCGGCAGCGACGCTTCACTAAATCCACAGATCGACGCGAGGCGCCGTAAATCCGCCAGCCATGCATTTAACGTCTCCCCTTCTTGTTGCACCCTACTGCAAAAACTTTGTTCTGCAGCCACTGGGGAGGGCTCTAACGTTTGGAAACACTTTCTTAGTGCGGCAACTATAGCTTCGAACGTGACGCCCGGGAGTGTGGAGGAACGGGGGTATAGCGTGTCCTCGATCGCATCAAAGATCTTGTTATTGACGATCCCTAGGAAAGCCTTCTTTTTAGCCGCGTCCTCCTCAAACCCTGCGGCCTCGAGCGCGTACAAGAGACGACGCTCATAATTTACCCAACGTTCCTCCCCGGGTTGGAAATTCTCAAACCTAAACCGGGGGGTGCCCATTGTTTACCCCTCTACGGTACCGTGGCCTGCTGCGCGCCGGTCCGTCTTCCCCTCAAACACGACTAAAACAAGTGTGCTAACGGATCCCGTGGCTTCGCACGCCGGAACGTTACACACAAAACAAATCGCTAAAAACAGTTAAGAGAAAATTTGCTAAAAACGAAACCGCCAGCGGTTCGTGGTACTCACCTCGTCGCCAGTTGAAGTGTCGGGGGAATGACGATACCAAGATACTTGTGATCAACAGTCTTTTATTGCACACAACAAACAATACATAAATACACTTACAGATACACTTATATCAGGGCGCACGCACACCGTGGTAAAACCCGCCGGTGGCGTTGTAGCTCAGGTCGTGGCAATGGCACGCCGGCTGAGCATAGAGCGGAATGAAGGTAGTAGTAGTAGGTGTAGAGA